CTATGTAATAGAATAACGTTAATTCAAATAAATCAAATTTTTAAAATTAATTTTCTTTATATACAAATTTCTTTATTGTAAACATATCCAGTCCATGTATTTATGATTGATTTTATCTAATTTTTATCTTGTAATTTACCTTTAATTTGTTTATGTTTATTTATTTGTATTTCTTTATATTATGCTTATTCGTATCTTTCCTATTATCACTATTTAATATTATCCTTTATTGCATAAGTTTTAAATAAATTCTGAATTGTTTATTCAAATTTTGTATTATCTTATCTTTTAAAATATTTCATAAGTAAAATATTCCTATTTTAAAAAAAGTTGAGAAATTTACAATACAAATGTAACGTATGATATTAAAGGAAAGTAAGTTTCGAGAAACTGGAGTTTTAACACCGGAGGAGTTTGTGGCAGCAGGCGATCATTTGGTGCATCATTGTCCAACTTGGCAATGGGCTATCGGTGATGAAGATCGGGTAAAATCGTATCTTCCCAAGAATAAACAATTCTTATTAACACGCAATGTTCCTTGTACTCGTAGATGCAAGCAGGTATTATTGGTTTTATGTAAACAATATAAATATTAATTTGTATCGTTATGATATTTTAAATTAGATGCTAAACTATTTATTGAACAATTATAATGTAGAAGAAACAGTAATTTTTTTATTATAATATTTCAATTTCTTCTAATTGGATTTTAGATTGAATACAGTAAAGAACAAGAATGCATTATAGAAGCAGATGATTCAGAGGGTGGTTGGGTAGATACTCATCACTATGATACTACTCTTGGTGGAGTCGAAGAAAGAGTATCTGAAATGACATTAGAAGAAACACAACATCCTCAATCAATTAATGCAGAAGACAATAATGAAGACGATGACGAAGATGATTATGAGGATGCTGCTGATATGGAAGCTTTTGAAGTCAGTGGAATGTTGGATGAACAAGATAAGGTATTATTTACATTGATTACATAGTAATTACATACTAATAGTTTTTTATTATATATATTTTGAAGAACATTATAACCTAATTATATTTAAACTAAAAAGTTTGCAGCAGAAACGACAAAGAAATCAGTGAAAGAAAAATGGGAACCATTTTCTGAAGGAGAGATTATTCACACACGCACATATGATTTGTACATCACATACGATAAATATTACCAAACCCCTCGGTTATGGCTTTCAGGATACGATGAGGTCTGCTTTTTCTGTTTAATGAATTAAGCTATAGTAATGTATTGTTATTATTGTAATGCATTCAAAATTTTCTGAAATTAATATAATTATTTTTTCTCAAAAGATTCGTAAGCCTCTCACAGTAGAAGAAATGTATGAAGATGTAAGTCAAGATCATGCCAAGAAAACTGTTACAATGGAGATTCATCCACATATACCTGGACCACCAATGGCCTCTGTTCATCCTTGCAGGTAATCTGAAATAGTTTAATTTCCTTAACACATTGACAGTCGAAAAACGATCTTTCTAAAATCTCACAAAAACAAAATTCATATAATAGGCATTATTCTTTTAACATCCATCATTCTTTTTTAAATCCTGATAAAATTTGGTTTATTCGAATATACCATAATTAAAATTAATTTCTAAACCTGATATGTGAATAATGTTGTAGTCAATGTGTTAAGCATTAAAATAACAGTATTTAATGAAACTAAATTGCAGACACGCGGAGGTAATGAAGAAAATAATTGAAACAGTAATGGAAGGTGGTCGTGAACTTGGCGTACACATGTATTTGATAATATTTCTCAAATTTGTGCAATCTGTAATCCCTACAATTGAGTATGATTATACACAAAATTTTATGCTAAACGCATCTAGTTAAGAGCTTTATAAATTTTTATTGTACCTTGAAGATGATCGTGGCTTTAGTTTTTAAGTATATAATAAATACTGAAACTAAAAGGACTGTGCATATAAGATAATAAACACGCTTATGTTCATAAAATTATAATATTTGCACCTTTAAAGAGCTGTTAAATATAAATTCGATTTTGACTGGTTCCATTTTTATAAGTCATTCCTTAAAATTAGTTACAATTTTTCATTTTGTTACAACAACTATTTTTATGAGGATATGAAACCATTTATCATTTAATAAAGGATACGTTTAACGTAAAACCATATTTTGTATTATTTAATAAGATAAAATTAATTACTGTCTTAAAAAATTACTTTCCTTAAGAAACATTTTATCTAACATTAAAGTTTGAAAAAAATGATGAAGTAAGTATATAAAGATGTGCATGCATGAATATGTTAAGTACTTATATACATTGCATGTACATAGTACATACAGGGTGATCCAAAAATGTCTCGCAATCCGAAAGTGGCACGTTCCTCAGGTCATTTGAAGCAACTTTTTCCTTTACAAAAATTTGCGGAACTGGGCTTCGTGCGCAGGTTGGCTGGGCCACCTCGCGTCAGCCGTATTCGATTCTTATTGGTCACTGTTTTTCGTTAATAACTCGTTAACGGTGCCTCGGAGAAAATTTTTGTAAAGGAAAAAGTTGCTTCAAATGACCTGAGGAACGTGCCACTTTCGGATTGCGAGACATTTTTGGGACACCCTATACATGTATTTACCATGATTCAATGCTTGATTTTAAAATGGCGGCACTTCAATGTCCTGTGTTTAAATGTTATTCACCCTGTTCAGTGACTGTAAGTGAAGATTTAGTTTAAGGACATCCCTTTTATGTTCCACCATCTATGTATTTGCAGCACATTAATATTCTTTTTATGTGTTATTCGAATTATTGATATGTATGTTTTCATAACTTTATCTTTTATAGGTTAAGAAACACCTACGGTGATAGAAATTAGTGTTTTAAGTACTTCAGATTTCAAAAGAATATTCTGGTGAAAATGACGACCTTGTACGATCAAATAAAACTTCTTTACGATCAGTCTTTATATTCAAATGTTATTTCATTAGTAAGTAAATGCAACAAGTGATTCAAAATGTCTTTTTCTCTATGATGATAATAAGATGATATCGTATTTAAAAATATAAAAAAATAATCTTCATTAACGTAGCATACAAATAAGTTTAGTGTTTTAATTATTTTTAAATATCTTCTAATACCACTTACTTTTATACTACAGGCTAATTTGGTATTGTCACTCAGTGAGGACAATTCAGATTTATTGCCTATACATGGAAAGTTCCATATTTATGTTTATTATGCAGATGCTCATTTTCATTTGGGAAAATATAAACGGGCAGATACCCTTTATAAAAAAGCATTGCAATTTCACAAATGCTTGTTAAAGTCTAAAGGAGCTATAAAACCTTTAGAAGGACAAAAGGATCTTCCAACAGATGTTGATATAAAATTCCAAATACATTTATGTTTACTAAAATTAAAAAATTCTTTAGAAGCACTTCAAGTACTACAAAGTATTCCTGGAAAGCAAAGAACTCCAAAAGTAAGTTTAATAAATTTAGATTTTACTATATTTGTGGGATTTTACGTATATTATCCAGAACTAGAAAGAGATTGTCTTTTGCATAATTTGATTCATTAATATTGTCATATTGATTAATAACAAAATTATACATATACGTATTCTTATTTTCAAGGTAAACATGGCTTTGGCAAAAATGTGTCAAGAACATGGAATGAAACGAACTGCTATAACAACTTATAAGGAAGTTTTAAGAGAATGTCCATTAGCATTGGAAGCTGCAGAAGGTCTGCTTTCTCTTGGAGTAAAAGGAATTGAAGTAAATTCATTAATTGTAGGTTGTGCATCAAGTTTATCGAATTTAGATTGGTTGAATACTTGGATCAAAGCACACGCACACATTTATAATAGAGAATATACTCATGCAGTATCAACATTAAGGTCTTTAGATAATGTTAATCTGCTCAGAGATAACTTTAATTTATTAACAACAATGGGAGAGTGTTATTACTATGCTGGAGATGACAAAAATGCTTTATTATGCTTACGAAGAGCTAGAATTATGGAACCAAATGTTATGAAAGGGTAATGGAACACTTATTTTAATGATATATATTTAGTTATATATATTTAATTATTTTTATTGAATAGGGTTGACATTTATGCAGCTGTGTTATATAAAAATCATCATATTAAAGAACTTGAAAGACTGATACCCATAATAACAGCAAGTAATGAATGTACTGGAGAAATATATGTCGCCATGGCATATTCTCTTTACGCTGCTAGGGATTTTAGTAAAGTGAATACTTTGACTACGCAAGCTTTGGATTTGAATCCAAATGATATAGAGGCAACTATACTTCGGGGAAATGTACTTATTGAGCAAAAGAAATACAAAGAATCATTGTTTTTCTTTAGACATGCAGTAGGATTAAAACCATATCGTTACGAACCCTACAAAGGTTTGGTTGATTGTTTTGTAGTATTGCATAGACTACGAGAAGCTCTCAACATTGCAAGCAGATCTTGTAAACAACTTGGACATACTGCAAGAGTTCTCACGGTAATCACATAAATCTGGTTTAGTTTCTAAATACAAATCTTGTTTTCTAGATAAGATGAAATATATAAAGAATGTACCAAGTATTGAAACATTGATTCAAATAAGAAAATCGATTTGCAGCTCTATGCATCTGTACTTATGAAAGATCCCGTTTCTGTTGGTAAAGCAAAAAATCTCTTAGAAAAAGCGTTGCTTCAGGATGAAGTTTACTTACCAGCAGTTTATTTATTAGCTGAAATATATGAACAGGAAATGAACTTGGAAGCTGCGATTGCATTACTTGAAAGACAAGTAGAAATTCAATCGACGTGTAAATTACATCAGATGCTTGGAGATCTTTGGGCCAGGGTACACAATGAAGAAAAAGCTTTAGACCATTATGCTATTGCTTTAAAGTAAGTTCACAATAAACTAGTTACGATATAAAAGATGGCTTATTAAAATTTTGCAAATATTTATGATTATGCCAACAATGTTTCGAATTATAGTTTAGATCCAAGTAATGGAAGAGCATTGGAAGGCATGCAAAGATTAGATAATTCTTCAAACAAGCTAGATTCAGCATATTATATGACTGTGGGCGAGGCACAAACAGATACTACCTACGATGTTGGTGATGGTTTACCGGATACTGATAATGATGAAGCACCTGATGAAAGTGAAACCGAAGCTGTATGGTCTGACATGGATCTTGAAGCAAATAGTCAATAATGTAAATGAAAATATTAGAAAACTGAATAATTTTAATACATTTGAATTAGAATTGTAATTAATTTTTATTTTGTATAATATTTCTCTTTTTTTGTTACCTATTTGCTAATTATAATAAAATAAAATATAAAAACTGTATTATTTGAAATAGTGTTAAATAACAAATTTAGAAAATAGTTTTTATAGAAAATTATTGCATTTTTTATATTATTCAGGAATTTTCTAACAAAAATATTTCGTCAACAAATATTTGTCAAAATAATTT